GATATTTGTGTGTCTGATACATGGTGTTTTTACACAATGCGCTAGGAGCCTGTGAAACTCATTGGCATAAGAAAACTTTGAATCTATAAGAATGGCCATACTAAATCAGTCCAAAAGTCCATCTAGTCCTGTATCCTGTCTTCTGACAGCGGCCAATGCCAGATGCCCCAGAGGGAGTGAACAGAAACAGGTAATCCAGTGATCCCTCTCCTGTCATCTATTTCCAGCCTCTGACTAACAGACGGTGGAGACACCATCCCTATCTATTTTGGCTAATAAGTATTGATGGCTCTAACCTCTGTGAATTTATCTCAATCTTTCTTGTACCCTGTTGAAGTTCTAGTCTTCACAGCCTCCTCTGGCAAGGAGTTCCACAGGTTGACTGTGTGCTGTGGGAAGAAAAACTCCCTTTTGTTTTAAACCTGCTACCTACTGATTTCATCTGGTGACCCTTAGTTCTTATGTTACTAGCCAATTAGCCCCTCATAAGATGGGATTTTCAGGTTTCTCCTCCACGTCAGTCTTTTCTCCTGAGCCTCCAGTCTCTCGCTCCATTTCTCTCTCTCAGCTCTCCTCTGCCTTCTGCCTCTCTCTGTCTGTCTCTTTCTCTTCTCCCCCTCCTGCCTCTCTCTCTCTCCGCTCTCCTCTGTCTCTGTTGGGGATGAACGCTTGCCCAGGCCCCACCCCCTGGGCGTGTATGTCACCACCCTACCCCCGTTCACTTCCCATCATGGTGCTCGGCTGACTTCTGTGCCACTCAGCCAGGCCGCTGTGGGGGAACAAGCGGTGCAAGCAGCCATTTGGGCCCCACACTCCCCATGCAACACCCCCGTGCTCAAGTGGCTCAAGTTTGGCAATCTCCCTAGCATCCTCAGCCGTGGAGACGAAAGCAAAGAATTCATTTAGCTTCCCCACTATGACTTTAACATCTTTGAGTGCTCCTTTAGCATCTCAATTGTCCAAGGGCTCCACTGGTTGTTTAGCAGATTTCCTGCTTCTGATGTACTTAAACATTTGCTATTGCCTTTTGTGTTTTTTGGCTCGCTGTTCTTCAAACTCCTTTTTGACTTTCCTTATTATATTTTTACACTTAATTTGACAGAGTTTATGCTCCTTTCTATTTTTCTCAGTGAGATGTAACTTCCACTTTTTAAATGATGCATTTTATCTCTCATTGCTTCTTTTAGTTGGTTGTTAAACCATGGTGGCACTTTTTTGGTTCTCTTGCTGTGTTTTTTTAACTTGGGGTATACATTTAAGTTTGGCTTCTATGATGGTGTCTTTGAAAAGTCTTCAAATAGCTTTTAAGGATCTAAATTTTGTCACTGTTAAATTTTATTACATTATGGTCACTATTTCCAAGCGGTCCAATTATATTTCTTGGACTAAGTCCTCTGCTCCACTGAGAACTAAAATCAAGAATTGCCTCTCCTCCTGTGGGTTCCAGAACTAGCTGCTCCAAGAAGCAGTCATTTAAGGTGTCAAGAAACTATCTCTGCATTCCATCCTAAGGTAACATGTAATATGGGGATAGCTGAAATCCCCCACTGTTACTGAGTGTTTTATTTTTATAGCTTCTCTAATCTTCCATAGCATTTCATAGTCACTATCAGTATCTTGGGCAGGTGGTCGATAATATATCCCTACTGCCATATTCTTATTATTAGAGCATGGAATTACTACCCATATTGATTCCATAGAACAGTTCGGTTCATTTAAGATTTTTACTTCATTTGTTTCTACATTTTTCTTTCACGTATCATGCTGCTCTCCCACTCAGCACGACTTGCTCTGTCCTTTCAATATATTTTATACCCTAGTATGACTGTCCCATTGATTGTCCTCATTCCATTAAGTTTCTGTGATGCCTTATATCCTCCTTAAATAAGAGGCACTGTACTTCGCCCATCTTATTATTCAGACTTCTAGCGTTTGTGTATAAGCACTTTAAAAATGTGTCACTATTTAACTGTCTGCCATTTCCTGATGTGTTAGAATGGCACTCTTTTTCATTGGACTGTTTCTCATCTGATCTTACCCATATTTTATCTTCCATCCTCTCCTCCTGACTAGAACATAGAGAATCTCTATTAATAGACTAACCTAAGAGATGTCTGTGTCCGATCCATATGCTCATCTGCACCCATTGACTTTCCTCCAGCCCTTAGTTTAAAAACTGCTCTTCGACCTTTTTAATTTTAAGTGCCAGGAATCTGGTTCCATTTTGGTTGAGGTGGAGCCTATCCTTCCTGTATAGGCTCCCCTTAGCCTAAAAGTTTCCCCAGTTCTTAATACATCTAACCCCTTCCTCCCTACTCCTTCCTCTCATCCACACATTGAGACCCTGCAGTTCTGCCTGTCTACCTGGCCCTGCGTGTGGAACTGGAAGCATTTCAGAGAATGCTACCATTGATGTCCTGGATTTCAATCTCTTTCTAGCAGCCTAAATTTGTCCCCTAAGCCTCCACGACCACCGGCTCCTCCCCAGCACTACACAGAAGTCTTATCTAGATGTCTTGAGAGATCCGCAACCTTTGCACCAGGCAGGCAAGTCACCATATGTTTCTGCTGGTCATCACAAACCCACCCAAGTGTTTAGCTAGATTCCCAAAAGGATCTATTGGACATTTACCTGCATAATGAGAGAGAGGTTGGTACGGGTTTAAAAAAACCAGTGGAAGGCAAACCACCCTTGTGATGTCACAGTGTAAAGGCAACTTTGAACAGAGGCAAGGAACAAACTTGTGTCGTGGGCCGGTTTGGGATTTCTGCTGGTGTGGGCAGTGACAGAAACAAAGGACAAGATGGACAACGGGGCAGTCAGTCCTCTGATCACTGGAAGAGATTAGGATTCTTCAGTGATACAGTTCCAGCTGCCTGTGGTGAGCAGAACAGGGACTTCTGCAGTGGCCCTCTCCCAAACTTCCCGCTGGGGAAGCTAAACTGTGCACAGGTTCAGTGCCCAAGACAACCTCTTCCTTTCCCAGCCAAAACGTAATGGTCCTATCCCTTTGGAACTAAGTGGCAAGTCAATGTGTGGGTGGTTTCCATTAGGAGACATTGGTGATGGAGTCTGATATCTTTGATGCAAGCCTGGCTCTGTCTGCAGAATATAGGCCTCTCCCTGAACACAGGCAAACTCAATCACCAGGAGACAGAGTCATGCTCCCATCACTGAGGCCCTTTCCGCCACCACTCTGCCCCAAAACTTGAGGCTTTGCCAAGGGCCATGCTCCTTGTTTCTTCAGTCTGAAGCTTTTTCGCTGCCTTCCTGCTTCTCTGGTGTGTGCATGGCTTTTCTTATACACATGCTTGCACCAGTTAATAGCCACCAAAACTCTTCTGCCCACGTGCAGATTGTCCTGTGCCTTTGTTTTGGCCAGAGACCATTGTTATTTTTCTGAAGCAGCTTAATTATTTCTGTTAGCTCAAATGAAGGGTGGTGGTTATACCCCCAGTTTCAAGAAGGTTTAACCCAACGAGGTGCCATAAATAAAACCAACTCTAGCTACTGGGCAATCAGGCAGCTCCCATCTAGCTCCAGGTGTAACATATCTGGACAGGCACGTGCTGTGAGTGTGAATCATTAAAGCCCATGGATATTTTCTGTCTGGAGTGCTCTGTTAGCTCAAATGAAGGGTGGTGGTTATACCCCCAGTTTCAAGAAGGTTTAACCCAACGAGGTGCCATAAATAAAACCAACTCTAGCTACTGGGCAATCAGGCAGCTCCCATCTAGCTCCAGGTGTAACATATCTGGACAGGCACGTGCTGTGAGTGTGAATCATTAAAGCCCATGGATATTTTCTGTCTGGAGTGCTACCGCATAGGTCACTTAGAAGGAAACTGCAGGTGCTCCAACCCTGGCTGCACTCCCAGTCCAGTGTGTGCTAGATGGTCCTGCTGGAATAGGCGACACCATGGGAAGGATGGTTTTTTTTTGTTTTTTTTTGACGTGGCTGGAAATGAAGTTGGCTAAGCTGAGCAGCAGCCCCAATGAGGGGACCCAGGCCTAGCAGACATGACCCTACGACATTGAATATAGAAAAATGGCTTTTCCCTAGAGTTTGGCTGAACAGAGCTGTCCTGGAATGAAATTGTGCGCCTGGAAAAATACCCCCCATTCAGGTGTTCTGTGGTGCTGCACTTCACTGACACCAGGAATTTGTTGGTAGACCAGTTAATAGGCAGAATTTATTTTCCATGACCCCCCTCCAAAGCTTTGGCTAAAGAAGCAAAATGGATCACATGTTTCAAGAACAGAGGTTTGGGTTAAGAAATCACATTCCAGAGAGAGAGTACAGGCACTTTTTAGCACCTTGAAGATGTTTGGATTAATTCTACCCTTTAGCACACCCTGCTATTCCTGTGTTAGGTTGTGAAGGAGCTT